AAGTAGAGTCAGGTTTCAGAATTTTCCTGTGTCATGCAGGATTGATGTACCAGAGTGGACAAAGTCTGTGTGTGTGCAGTTGGGAACTCACAGCAGACGGTTCACCTTACAGGTGGCAGAGTTCTCATGGGAAAAGGATAGCACAGCTGAGTTTCTGCCAGGATGTTCTCTCAGATGCAGCCTCAGTGCCTCACCATGACACCCTACCAGCTCCTTCTACCCAGTATCTTTTTTTTCAAAACAGTTTTCAAAATTTTCCATTCCAAGAAAAAACACCCTAAAAGACTTCTTGGGAACAAGTTTGCCAAATTTACCAAAGGAAGAGGATGATTTCAGCTGGTTATAGTCCTGTATTTGTTCTAAATAAATCAGATATTGACTACAGAAACATCTTTAGTTTCTCTTGTTTACAGCCCGGGCTGACAGTTAACCTCTCAAAAACTTTCAAATAAAACTCAGCTGAAGAAATGTTTGCTTTCCCCAGACTCTGAAAATGTCCAGGGTTTTTTATTTAGTTGTTTTGTGGTGGTGTTTTTTGGCATACTGCATTGCATACCTCCCTGTGGTCTTTAAATTACCTGGTCATCAAGAAGGCATTTACATTCCTGTTAAAATAAGTGCACTCGGAGGTGCCAACAGAAAATTATGCGTAAGGATATAGTTTATGTACACAGGTTGCAATCTAATAAAAATCCAGTCACTTCATGTTCCTAGGTCTGTGAATATTTATCATCATAAGCAAGTAGCAGAGAGAGACTAGGCTGAGGAAATAAGGGATAGTAGAGGAAATCATTGTAACCAATAGAAAACAAACGTCCTTAGTGAAAACAGGTTCTTGCAAAATCCCAGGTAAAAGCTGCTGACAGTTTCCTTTGTCTCTCTAAGTGGCCCTGACCTAAACCAGTCCCATAAATTAAGGTGCCTAAGAACAATATGTAACAGAACAGACATTCTGCCAGCTCCTCACTGGTGCCCGGTAAGGATCCCATCGTTTTGTATAAAAGCAGCTGGGGGAGATAATTGTGTGGCTAAGGGAGCATCAGCAGGTTGCAAGAAATCATTAGTCACCTCTGCAATACACCTGGTAAATTATTAGTACATTTAAACAGAGCTGTTCCTCTCAGTACTGCAGTGTAGGATACAGACAGCTTCAAGGCTCTGAACATAATCAGCAGACGTGTGTCAGCAATTAGGAAGCAAGCTGTTTTCTAGTATGAAATCAAGACAGAAGAGCTGCAATTGTGGCTGGAAGTAGGCTGTGCTTCCTTGATTTTACCAGGCACCTGCAGCCTGACACACCAAGCTGATCTGACGTGCAGCACAAGGATCCAGTTCTTTCCAGTTACCCACCATGTGCTATAGGAAGTCTGAATGGGTGTCAAGTTTTCAAGTCGACTGTAGAACAGGAAATGATGCCAGGTCAAGCATAATGATACAATGGCAAGGTTGGATGAGGCACTGGGAGAAACTCTATGGTACAAAGCTAACTCTTCAGGGAAAAAAAAAAAAAAGGCTGGCAGGTTACCACATTTGAACTACAGTGTGAATTTATATTGAATCAGCATTTTGACTTATGCAGTGCCTACCATGTTTTTCACCTGATGTAAGAGCTCTAAACCTAGTTCATTTATAGTTTTCAGGGATTGCTTTGGTAAAGTAGATTGAAAAAGTGCTGTTATGTAAAGTGGAAAGTCTTCTGAATTAGTCTTGACTGTTGTGAACTAGATAAACCTTTATCATCACTCTTTTCAGCTCCACAGTGAGATGAGTCCCTACAGAGACAGAGGCAACACTTTGGTCACCTTTGATCACACTGAGCAGTGCTTGACCCTACATGAATTTAACTGGAAATTGGAATCTACCCAGCAGGGTAAGGCAGTGATTTCTAGTTGACTTGATTCAGAGTGAACAAATCTGCTGATTAGCTTCAGTCAGGCAGGTAATGGGATATCTTCACTGTTCTGCTGTTGTTCAGGCTGTGTCTCTGTGCTGGTTTTGACTGGTGTAGAGCTAATTTTCTTCAGTGGCCAGTATGGCCCATGTTTTGGATTTGTGCTGAACACAGCAGATAATTCAGGGATGTTTTCCTTGTTGCTGAGCAGAGCTCACACAGAGCCAAGGATTTTCTGCCCCTCACTCAACCCCACCAGCGAGGAGGCTGAGGTGGCACAAGGAACTGGGAGGGGACAGAGCCAGGGCAGCTGACCCCTAGTGACCCAAAAGGGGTATCTCAGACCATATTGGGTCATGCATAGCACACAAAGCCGGGGGAAGAAGGAAGAGGGGAACATTCACAAGGCTGGTGTTTGTCTTCCCAAGTCACCCTTCTGTGTGATGGAGCCCTGCTGTCCTGGGGATGGCTGGGCACCTGCCTGCACATGGGAAGTGAGGAGTGAATTCCTTGTTTTGCTTCCCTTGCACTGCTTTTGCTTTACCTACTAAACTGTCTTTATGTCAACCAGTGAGTTTTCTCATTGTTACTCTTCTGATTCTCTTCCCCCATCCCACCAGGGGGAAATGAGTGAGTGGCTGTGTTGGGCTAAGCTGCTGGCTGGGGTGAAACCAGGACAGTCTCTGAAGGGCAGCCTCAGTGTATCTCACTGGTGTGTTTCATGCTGGGGAAAAAATAAAAATTAAAAAAAAAAAAAAGAAGAAAAAAAAGAGATGGGTTTGCATCTGCAAAAAATACTTTTTTCTTAGTTGAAAATTACCAAGACCTGACTGAAGCTCCACATCAGTTTTGATCTTGTACGGCAATTGCTTAAAGAAGGAGAAGGGGATATAAAACGAGTAATGAGAAGGAACCAGCGCGGATGATGGTAGCTGTGGTCTCCTTCTCATGCCCTGCACATTGCGTGGTAGGAAAGGAGAATTCACCAAGAGGACACACTGAGAGCAGCAGCACTCACCAACAGTCAGGGAAAGCTTGTTGCTGTTGTCATAGATTCATGCTCTCATACACTTGGATAGCCAGTAACGTGTCATCCTAGGTACATGTTTATGTTGTCAGACAAGGAATATCCAGGAATAGTTGTCCATTTTCAGAGCAATTTTCAAGGCTTGATACATCCTGTGGAATCTGTCTGGCTGATCACTTAGACTGAGGACAAGGAAGTGTCGTTGCAGAAGACAAGTATATCAGTTCTTGTCTGTCTCAGTCCATCTGGTGAAGCATCAAGTGTGTGGGAGCACTTGGTCCAGGTAGAGTATGAGGGACAGAGGGACAATGTGCTGCAGAAAGTTAGAAAATCTGGGTATTGTGTGCTCTGTTCATTTGACTGACTGATGAAAACAAATTTTTACCAGTGTACACGTCCTATTTCGTGAGACCTCTTCCTGTTTTCCCTGCTGGGTGGTCTAACTTCCAGAGTGCCTGTGGCAGCCACTGCTTGTCACAGCTCAGTGACAGCTCTCAGTAACTCCAGCAGCTGGCAGTGCTCTCTAGAAATCCAGGGTCATTTTTACTGCTTTAGAGCACTTTTGCCAAAGCCAGTAAGTACCAGCTCAAACAGGCCTTGAAACTTGGTGGGGGCAGGAATTGGGGTTTCAAAACTAAGAGGTTCCCTCAGTACTGAGATGTTTTCTATGTAGGAGTGGTCTGCTTCTTTCTTATTAAATACAAATGCTAGGAATGTAGTATTCAAGTCATACATTTTTTTTGACTGCTTTAATGAGCATGTTATCAGCATTTCTACTTCATTGGATATAGCAGAACAGAAATATTGGCAGTACTGTGCACTTACCACTTGGAATGCAAGTATGACATGAAAGAGGTTTTAAATAGTATTAAATATTTTCTCGTAGAATTTGTAGAAATTGAACTTAGTTATTGGAATAATGTTCTAAACATTCAACTTTCACTCTAATTATCGAGTCTTTCCTCTGCTCTCGTGCAGCTACGGTGTCACAGCCAAAGAAATAATTTAATGAAATTAAGTGCGTGTTGAAAAATATATACACACACATACACTTCAGGTTGGCAAATGAAAATAAAGACAGTGTAAAAAGCACTTCAACAAATATTATTTAATGTTCAATTTAGCAATTAAGTGGTCGTATGTATGTTGGATATGCTGCCACAGTAAATACTGGTCGATTTTAGTCCCTCAATCCTGTGGTCTCTTAGGCCAAAGTTGGCACCCCATGTGTTTGTGTCCGTGCTGTGGGTTCTAACCTGGTGTAGTGCCTGCTGCTGGGAGTGCAGCAGCTGGGGCAGGGAGGTGGTTCTTGGATGACACCAGATTTTCTCTCAGTTGTATGATGGAGTTACGTGGTAGTAAACAAGGCACAGGTTGGCTGTCGATGGTGGTGTCACGCTGTGGGGAATTGCTTTTTGGGGGCATTCAGCTGCTGGAGAGCTCAGGGCTGAACCTTTCCTGCAAGCCAAGTTGTGTGTTATAAAGGAACTTGCACATTTATTTTTACTTTATCAGCCTTGCAGTACCTAAAGGGGCCTACAAGATTTTTTTGCAAGGACATGTAGTGATAGGCAAGGGGTAATGAATTTAAACCAATAGAGGGCAGGTTTAGATTAGATATTAGGAATAAATTCTTCCTTGTGAGGGTGGTGAGGCCATGGTACAGGTTGCCTGGAGAAACTGTGGAAGTTTTCAGGGCCAGGTTGGATGGGGCTTGGAGCAACTTGGGATAGTGGAAGGTGTCCCTGCCCATGGCAGAGGGGTTGGAATTGGATGGTCTTTAAGGTCCCTTCCAACTCAAACCATTCTAGATTCTGTGATTTTGGGACCTTCAGTAAAAATAACTTGCCCAGTTTTCCTGAAATACCCTGCTCTGTGCAGCCTGCACGGCTCTGAAACAGCCATCTGGTTTCTTTTGCTGCCTCTGCTGCTACATCCTGAGTACAACAGCAATTTGCAGTTACTCTCTTTTTTCCTTCTCCCATGTCCTTCACCTCCAAAGCACAGGCCCTCGCTACAGTAGCATCCATGTGGGTCTCCAGGATGGAAAAACTGAGTTAACGTTTTTTTCTTCCTTTACAGAGCAAGGAGGTTCTTTACAGAAGAATCAGCCTGATGAGCACTGGTTTTCATGTGCTTGCTTTGTTTGCATGGTAGGAAGGCTTTTTCTGTGAATGGGAGGAATGTTTAGCATCTGATTTTCTGAACTGAAAAGATTTCCTGTCTGTATAATTAGCCTTATTTATGCAATTACAGCTTATCCACTAATTGCTTGGTTGGTTTTTTTTTTTGTAGTTTGCTTTCCTCTATGTAGAATATTCATCAGACAGCTCATGTCGAGAAGTCAACAAGATTGTTGTCGTTGTTCTGGTTTTTGTGTCTCTACAAGGAATGCGATTGTCACTGAAGCAATGAATTGTTGAATACAATCTAAACACCACTTAATGTCAGCTTTTTTTTCCCTGAGTGACATGATGATGAATTCCGGAGGAAAAAAGTGCCTTAGAGAAATTTCATCAAATAAATAATCTAATTGTGCCTAGAAATTCCATAATGACCTCAAGACTTGGGAGTTGCCTAATACACTGCTTAGAATTAACCACTCTTCTTGAGATATCAAAATAATATACAATGAACACTGCAAAATCTACTTACTCTAGAACTTAACGTATCTCTTTAAACCTAATTCATTATGTGCAAATGACATTTGCTTTTATAATAGCAGCATGTATTCATGCTCTGCATTGTTCTTGTCTGTCTCTCTAGCACACTAGGGACTGTGGTGCATCCTGTATGTCTTAGAACTTAATCATTCAGTTACTCAGTAAACATAAAATGGTGTGAACATGCTCGTGAGTGAGAGCAATCAAACTAAATCACAGAAAAAGACAGTCCAAACTTGAATGTCATCCAGATAATTTACCAGGCTCAGAATACAAAACATTTAATGAGGAACTGTCATGTTTATAGAAATTTTAAGGATTGTATAGATTATATAAGAATAGCAATGGAATTATGATTGATAGAAATAGCAGAGTTAGGGTAATTTCTTCTTAATCCATAAGCAATCCAGTCAAACAGAAATATTCATAAGGTAAGCACAGTGGAATTTGTTAAGCTGGTGGTTGTGCGGTTTTCTTCTCTCAGAGAAACCAGCTCTGCAAGGCTTCACCCTGTGACGGCCTTTGTCCCTTGTAGTGCTTTGTTATACACCCTACAAGACCTGCTTTGGAGAGGACTGAACAATTTTGGGGAAAGCAGACAGACTGAAAAGGTTGCTGAAAGCCCAGTGCAGCAGTGTGGTGTCTGCATGTTTGATTCTCTGCTGTTCTGCACATGGACATGTGCTCATTTGCCAAACGGGACCTGCCAGGGCAGCAGAAGGGAACACTTCATCTCCCTGCTAGCAGGAAATGGCACATTCCTTTCAAGTTTCAGGCTGTATCCTGACTCTTTGCTCAGGCGGCCTGTGTATTCAAAGGGTTTTAGGAGGCCAAATTCAGAGTAGTTGATTCCATAAACAAATCACTTCTCAGTTCCTCCTCTCTGTAAAATAGAAATTACAGAGGAGTGCTAAGAGCTTGGGGTGAAAAAGCTCGGCTCAGTGACATTATTTGTGATGTGGTAATACATCAGGGAAGGCAGGATTAATGGTCAGGTAATTCAAAGACTGGCAGGATGTTCCTAACTGAGAGTGATAGAAGTAGTTCAGACACCGTGACTAAAAATCAACCATTGATACAGCTGTTATTGCTGTTGCTATAGAATGCATAAATTGTATTCCTTCTGTCTTGTAGTTTGATTTGCATAGCTATAAACTCCCTCCCTTAATCTTCAAATAAAAACACACCTACTTCATACATATGCCCCTCTTTTTGCCTGAGGCAATGTAGGAGTTGATCCATTAATATCATGGCTTGTTTTCTACTTAGGTGGATATTGTCACTACCATCCATTACCAGTTTTTAAACACCTCTAGATTTGGGTTTTCCACTATTTTTGTAGCCTTGTGTGACAAAAAGTATTTCTTTATATTCAATGTTTTCATTTGGAAAAGCCCAGGTTGTAATGCTATCCCAGTTGTCATTATTTTTTGCTAATTCTTTAGAGAGATTCTTCAGCTTTGGTAAATTCATCCAGTAGAATATGGATGGCAACAGAGAAATATTTGACAATAATTCTGGTATTTCAGGAAGTCTCATAAAAACTGTCAGAACTTTCATTAACTCATAACTCCCTCTGGATTGTGTCTCTATCTCTTTTAGGGCCCCTGAGATCAGCCTTTTTATTTCACTAGGCTGAAACTTTTACAGCAGACAGTTCCCAAATGGCATATCTAGCTGCAGCCATGTATTTTTCTTTGTTAATGCCAGTAGTGTTAACAGCATTGGATTGAATTAAGCTTTACTAAGGCTGTAGCAGTTAGGATCTTCAAACGCTTTTCTCTAGGGCACTTCTTCCTCATAAAAGAATAATTTGAAAAATTAAAAAAAAAAAAAAAAGCCTAATGCCGAAGAACTCACAGGAAGGGCTTCATTGCTGTCACTGAATGAATCATTCACATTGGGTTTTTTTCTCCAAACTCTTTGAAAGCAAGAGTGCCTTGAACAGGTGCTCCAGGTTTGGAGAAACTTAAGAGAGGGATTTCAAGCCCTACATTCAGAGCTCAGATTCAAGTGACATTATGAATAGCTTAAATTAATTACCCTGTCCAGTGAGACTGGATTGTCATATAAAATATTCTAAATCAAACAAAACTATTTCAGTGAGAAGCCATTGTCTTTACCACTCTGTCACTCTTGCAAGGTGGGAGTAGTGCTGTGGAGAGTGTATTGCAAGACTTTTTTCCCCACGATAAAGCAGCCTTGGAAGGGATTACAGCAGCCAGGCTCCTGAACAGCCAACATGCAACTAGAGATGTGTTGTTTCAGGTACCTGGTACAAGAATATATTGAGGAAAATGTATTGGGAGGTTCCGTAGTTTTGACCTCTTGGATAACTTACCGTCAGTGTAAGTTGAGTTGCATGTGAATTAAACCTCTGTCCAGCTGCAATTTGTGCAGACTTTTACCACAGCTCCTGTGTGTGGCACACGCCCAGCAGCCTTGGGGCTGCAATCAGGTGCCCCTCTGTTTTGGGTTCCAGCTGCTACAGTCAGTCAAATAGGTGAAATCCTAGTAGGACCTTTCCTTCCTCTCCTTTCCGGGGTGGCGTGTGCTCCCTTTACACTTTTTTGTTGCTTTTAGCCAAAACTGGAGAATTTTTTTTTCTTCTTGGCAGTCCTGCACTGAAGTCCTTCCTCTCCCCTCAGCCCGTGGAAAATTCCCGTGGTTGTTACACGCTGTCATGGTTTGAGACCCCCAGAAATCCAATTTCTGAGTCCAAGCCCCCCTCCCACAACTCACCCCAGTGTGAGAGGGGTTTTCCAGACACAACACAAGACTCAATATGGGGGAAAGGGAATTATATTACAATTATTACACAAATAAATATTATAATACATTATATACATAATCCTAACTATCTCTCCTATGATAAAGCAATATTTACATTGGATCAAATCTCTTTTCCCTCCAATAAAAGTCCAGAAGGGAAGAAGGAAAGATCCTTTCCCCTTATGGGCAGCAGTGTCTCTCTCTTCAATGCAGCAGTCGTAGCTGGAGTTGTTGTAGTTGGATCTCTTTCCATTACACACAAGGGGGTCTCCTCTCTCCTCTTGGCCCTTCGACTCCAAGCGAAGGTCTCTCTCTCCCGTTGACTGTGAAGCCGGGACAAAAGCTCGCCTCACCATATCATATCACAAAGTGCAGGGGTCTTCGTGACAGTCTCTTCCTCAGGGGATTTACCCTCTGAGTCAGAATGTTTAGGGCAGCTTTCAGTTCAGTCCTTGCCCTAAGCGTTCTATCAGACTCCTCTGCTCTGTCTCAGCTGCCAGCTTGGCAGCAGCAGCAGGGGGAGAACAAGGTCACCTCCTCTGCATTCTGTCCAGCCATCCCGGTCCAGCTTCCAGGACGTCTACAAGCTTCTCAGCTCCTCTCTGCAGTGCATGCTGCATTTTAGGACTTCCACCAAGTAGGAGTCCACCTCCTCCTCCTCCGAGGAGGGGTCTCAAAGGAGTTTTGGGGAGAGTTGATTCAGTTCTTACCCCAAAACTGTCTCTGTTGAGCTTTCTCTCTCTCTCTCTCTCTCTCTCCCTCTCTCTCTCTCTCTCTCTCTCTCCTCTCTCTCTCTCTCTCTCTCTCTCTCTCTCTCTCTCTCTCCATCAGACATCTCTGTGTCTCTCTGCTTAGCTGCATGCTGACTTTGCTGCTTGTTTCTTATCTTCTTGGCTTTCTGCCACAGTTCTCCGTTCACTGCTGCTCCACCGCTGCTTTCAGTATCTCTGGCTGTCCACTCACAGCCAGGAAACTTCCCCCAGCTCTTGCTACAGATCCTTGGCCCAGTCTAACACTGTTCCAAGTTCCTGCAGCCCCCAGTGGGGCTCCTGGCTCTTCTCCCCTCTTGGCCTAAAACATGGCCACTTCTTCCACAACTGCATCATCATTCTTCTTTTCCAGTCCGGTGTGATATGTTTAAATTTTGCAGGGGCGCTGATTGGGTTAACACCAAGAGAGACACCACCCCCTGGGGGTTACCATTTTTTTAACTCCAGGGGAAAAACCACTTTTTTTCCCCACCACACACATGCACTTCTTGGAGTGCTCCTATAGGTTGTTAAACACAGGAACTCCCTCTTCCCAGTGCCATGTTCAGGATGCCTGGAATCTGCTGGTTTATGGCCAGCAGATTTCTGGCTTCCTGGGAGGGAAGAGTATTGATTTACATACCCAGTAAATATCTTGTAGGCAATTTTCCTTTCTAATCATTGTTCAATAAGCACAGCTGGACGCAAATAAATTGACATTATAGTTAAGGCCTCCTAACAGCTCCACTCACATTTCCTGGGGCCTTTCTGTAGCCTCTAGGATTTTTATAAAGATTTATTTCCCCTAAATATAATTACATTATAATCTAATTACTTTCTTACACTTCTTCTCATAATTAACTTTCCTATGTTTAAAACTTGAAGAAAGAAATGAGATAGAACACACTGCTTTATTAATCTGAGGAGTGTATCTTATATTTCTTAAAATAACTTCTGATTTTTGTTTTATTTCATTGGTCTGGTTGATATGATCTGTAAACATCTTCTCAGCCAATGCCAAATTAAAATACTATGTACTTGATTTTTATTGTACATCAATAAAAACATAGGTGGTATGAATAGCAAGAAGGAACAGACACATGGTTTCAGTCTATTTTAAATGGTAATGTGTTATATCTAATCTGCTAACGTGAAACAAATATTGATAGGCCTGAACTGGACAAAATGTACACATTAAATTCAGTTAGTTTGTAGACCAAGTACTTTCTTATCAATTTCCTTTATACTAATACAGAAGTTCTTGATTTCTACTTTTCTTTTTTTTTTTTTTAATTCTGTTGTAATTTCATACAGAGATAGAACAATTTTGCACTGGGAGAACTACATGAAAATCTCTTTGGAATGGATATATATTTATTTATTGTTCATCGGTATCTTCTGAATAGTCTTAAAAAGCAAATTCCATGATAACAGTCCATGAGCTCTTCTGTTTGTCTTTCTACAGCTTTGTGTTTTTCCATTGGACCAACCAATGGACTTGCATGACTAGAAATTCAGGCAAGCAAATTCCATAAGGTAAGTGAAATGTTGATAGACACACATGTGCTTTTCATTCTTAGAAAGTGTATTTTCTTAAAATTTAATAACATTTTGAGGGTCAAAGAACATGATAAAAATAAATTATCTGAATACCTAGGATAATTCTACAAATAGCAGTAGAGAGATCCCACTGTACTGGTTCCCACAATGTATGAAAATACTTTTTTAAATTTTGTTCTCACATATACAGAGAGTGTTTCAAGGAAAAGTCAGAGGGGAATATATATCTTTTTTTATGCAGGTTGAACTTTTTAAAACAGAAATGAACTCAGTTTCAATGTTCTATATTCTGTACTGAAATTCTTCTAACATTTTTATATAAAATAGGGATTTGGGGGTTTATCTCCTGTTATTTTCATAAAAGAAAACCTGTCACTTTATATGAGGAAGCCACCCTATTGTTTCAGATAAATTCTCATGCCATTCAATGGAAAATAACAGTCCTCTTCATGTTTTCCCTCGGTGTGGCCACTGTGCAGAGCAGGAGCAGTTAAATAGCTGCTTGAGCTTGGATCACACTGGTCTGCAGGAGGAATTGGAAGCAGTTCCTGGTTTTACAGCAGTGGCACTAGGAAGCACAATTCTCCTTTTAGCCCCCCCTCTCCCCCCCATATTTGACCTGATATCAACATGAACATTTTCAGAAGAGGCAGCTTGAGACTTTTCAGCAAAAAGTGCTAGAATTAATTTTACCAGTTTGGCAAGGGTGTTGCCAATGATACACATAACCTCGTGTATCCCCAGTGCTGTAGCTACAAAGCTGAGTTTTATAGCAGAGGAGATCCCAAGGAACCACACCGACTGTCCCTCTGCCGTCTGGCCCAGCCTGGTTGCAGCACATGGCCAGCAAAGGCATCAGGAGGGGGCAAGGTCACCGTGCTCTGCCCTCCCCTGCACTGACTCAGCTGCTGCTCAGTGCTCTGAGCACTGCCAGGGCACTGAGGAAATGGAAGTGTGGTCCAGCAGTTCCCAGGGCAGCTCACATCTGGAGATACGAGGAGGTCAATAAAGCTCCCAGGGAGGCAAGAAGCTGGAATGCTTTATTGGATTTACAAGTTCATATTTAAAGGGTTTAGGATCTACATATTCAACAGGGGGTGGTAGCTATTACAACTTGTTACAAACAGGGGGGGTCAGGGGATGACATAAGGGAAAAACCTGACTTACACAATTCGGGGCTTTCACAGAGATGACATCAGGGGAAAATCCAAGTTACACTTCTTGGGGTCTTAGGAATTACCTCATGTGGAAAAACCCATCTTATCTTAGGGGTATTACATGGGGGGAACGGGTAAAGAAGAGATAAAAAGGGAGAGATAAAACACAAAAGGTCTTCTGCACAGGTTTGATGAGATCAGGGCAGGGTTTCTCCAGGTTCGGGCAGGACATTCCAACCCCGTGACATCAATGGATCCTTGTCTGGACTCTAGATGGAGGCTTTTTCTCAGTCTCTGTCAGCCCAAGGCTTTTGTTTAAACCTAGCAGTTTTCTTTTTCTCATATCCAAATTTTGAAATCCAACAGAGATACACAAGGCACAGTTTTGATAATGAAAGAAAGGCTGACTGGGGTGGAGAGGGAGTTGCAGAGTCAATAAGAAGAGTCAAAAAGGGATAGTTTTCCCCACTTTAATCTCCCCGGTATGAATATTAGCTGTGGAAAAACTGAAAGGTCATTCAGGCCTAAATCTAGAGCATCTCTTTTTTGGATGGAGTGCCTTTCTTCTTGACTTTAGTAGAAGTGCATAGGACAAAACTGAGATCACATTTGAACCGGAGTATAAACCCACTTTTCCTTTAGTATTTCAGACTCCTCAACCCAAATCTTTTAAATGGAAAATACCTAAAAAGTCATTGTGGTGAAAAAAATCAATTTCCAAAGTTTGTTTTGCCACTAGTCATCGGGTATTTAAATCTTTGCCTTTTGTCAGAAAAACACCTTTGATAAAGACCACCTTCCATATATATAGATTTTGCCTTTGGAGATGAAAGGGAGACATCTGTGAGATGTGTCTATTTCCTGCTGGGAGCATGCTCTGTGCACTGGGCACCAGACTGGTGAGGACAGAGGTCACTGGGACCCTGAGGGTGGCAAGATTAAACCATGCCACCTCTCTGTCTCTGTTTCCCTGCTTATGTATTTTGCCTATTAAATCACATCTGTCACCTTTATCACCTCCCTGTTCTTTAAAGATGTACTTTTCTTTGCTGCTTTTTAAACATATCCTTTTGAAAACTTTCTTGCTCTATACCAGCTGTTTCCTTAAGATCTTTTGGCTTAAGATTTTGCCTTTGAGTCTATATATATATAGGCTGGATTTTTGTTGTTATTATACCTACTGCTGCCTCTAGAAAATATTTTGATATGCAATGAGGCAAGACTTCCTTCACAAAATCTGTTTCTCTCTTTGCCAGTAAGTATATTTGTCTATGAAGGCATTCATTCTATTCTTTAAAACAGTTTCCACCAGTTTGCTAGGCTTTCTGCTCCGTGTTTGCCCAGAACACCTTTGGTAACAGAGCAAATTTAAGCCAGAAGTTAAGTAGCACCATTGGTAGTTAAATCTTGAGTTTCTTTATGTTATAGGCAGTTCTCATGTAGTTCTGGTGGTTTGTTACTGATCATTTGTTCATTAGAAAAACTTTTTGGGTGTCTTTGTCATTAATTTTTATTTGAGATATTTTTATTTATTTTATTTGAGATATTTGAGGCTCTCTTGTAAAGAGAGATTCCAGAATAGGAATCTTTCCAGTCTCCTCCCCCCCAAAATATATGCAAGAAAAAAATAGAAACAAAACCATAAAAACAAAAAAATGAAAATCTGATCCAGTGCAGGGCTTCCAACAAAGCCAAGAATTGCTTCCTCCTCTCTGAGTTTCCTGGCTGCCCATGAAATACTGATTCCTGCTAACGTATCCCAGTATGTTTATACTTTCCACTGAGCGTAAGTGAAGTTTTCCCATCACCACGTTGTTCCACAGTTGAAATATAATAGTGATAGTATTTCATTTCAATGCTTCATTTCATCGCCCAGAATTCCGTGGGATCACATCTGAGTAAACTGTCCAGAGGGCTTGGCCAATTAGTTTTAAACTACTCTTTAACATATGATTCTATTTACTGTTTGGTACAGCTTACTCCATCTTTTACATATGCTTTGATTTTCTGGTTCCAGGGTCTCTGATTGTTTTCTTTCCACTAGGATGCCTAGTGCTTATTATGCCCACATTTGATATTCTCAGTTAAAAGTGTGCAGGGCAGCAAGTCAGGCAGGCAATCAGGTTCCCTATCTTATTGCTTAGATGGCTGCAGGAAACCATGGATAAGTTGCTTTTATTTTTTTTTCCTCTGTACAACTGTTTCTTTTATGTAGAACTGTTTCTTTTCTTTGCTGTTTCCTATTTGATTATCTCAAGCTTCCATCCTATCCTCTATATAAATTCTTTTAACTTCCCCAGTGAGCTTTTCTGCACCCATCAGCATTCTTCCACTTTCTCGTTTCAGCAACTTTACACCAACCTTGGCTGTGTTCCTGGGAGGTGAATTACCCGATGCTGGAGCCTGCAACTTGTAACTGAGGTTCATGACCCAAGAGTGTATTTACCTCTTGTGAGGACGATTTCTTATGGACCTCATTTCCAGCTGGGGTTCAGGACCCTTGTAGCCAACAGGGGCTGTTGGCCTTTAAGTGTTGGCTGCTGTGAAGGGTCTGTATTGTGCTGACATGCACATAAGCCCCCCGCGGGAGCAGCTGGTTGATGCCTCTGTTGAGTAGTGCAGCATATTCTTCACCTTGTTGGATTTTTTAACTTCCTGCTTGGGTGGGCTGCCTTTCTCAATCCATCCTGTCAGTGCTCCTGTCAGTGCCCCTTATTTCCTTGTTGGAGCTCAGACTGACCACAACAGCAAGCTTTTTTCCCACTATTTCTAGCAGTAGTTTTAGGGGCTAAAAACGTGTATCTGCTAAATTCAGTTTCCAGGAAGAATTGCTAATTCTTAGGGCAGAATCAGGACTGAAGGATCCCGGGCAGACCTCTCCACAAACACTGATGTGTTTAATATATTCTTGATATTCATTGTATCTCCAGTAATTTGCCTTTTACCTAGAACGGCACATCAGCAAGTGGCTCTCCTACGTTTACTCTTAAGTAAATTGTGGTGTTAAACAGCTTCTTTCTGAAACCCTCCTGGTTGCATAAGCCATGTGATTCTGGATACAACAATCTGATGAGGCAGAACAGTACTTGGGTGTGTTAAGTGGTGGTTATTGCTTGCATTTCAGTATATTTGTATTGAGGGTCACTCTCCTGGAAGTAACAAACATGGAAGAGGGATTAATTCGAGAGTCCCAAAGTCATTGTCCAGAACAGGAGGTTTGCAGCTATCAGACAGAAAGTATCAACTTTCTATTTTTGAAATTAGTAATTTTGGTCTTGATGAGCAATGATAAAATCATGCAGAACAGAATTCATTAAAATACAGTTCATTGGGATCATTGGTGAGGTTTGCCACCTGTGTGGCCTCGTGCTTCCCCAAGTGGATTGTAGGTCATAGAAATATGTCAGGAAACAGCTTACAGGGACACCTATTTGAATACTCAAGGTTGAACATCTGCCTCTCCTGATCTGTCACTGTCCCACTAAAAAAATAATTTCTGACATTCAGTCAACCAAAATATCCCTGGAACAGCCCAGTGGTTGGTTCAGTAGGAGTTTGTGAGTGGAAAAAAACCAGTTCGATTTGCACAAAATACCTTTTGGTGATAAAACCTCACTTTTGTTGCTGGCTGGAACAGGTACAGACCTTCTCATGTTTCTCACTTTAATTTGGCATTAATGAGTTTTTGCAAACATGGCCTCTGTGTTTACACAGTCATTCTTTGCTTGTTTCTACCGGTCTGTCAAAGGCCACACTGGGGTTTTGTGTTTGCTTTTTTTGTGTGTGTGTGTTAAACATTGAGCAGCAAACCAGGGCACA